TCAGCATCCTCACATATGTCTCACAATACTATAATTACTTCCGCGGCCGCTTGCCAAGTAAGACTCCATTTATCCACCATCAGAGTGTTTATGAAGTAAAAGCCACCTTTTTTTGCAGGGACATTGTCTTATTTTAATTAGGGCTGGGTAAAAAATATCTATCTCTATTAATCAAATCTCATTTTTACGGAACGATATCGATTCTTAAATCCCATATCGCAATAAGCATTGTGCTTTGGTACTTTTAATATGAAACAAAGTCTCAGATTTCAAATTCTGTCCATTGTATTGCAGTATTCAAACAATAAATGCCATTTTGGCGCTGTTTAATGTGGAGTGACGGATCACTGTAGCGCCTCAGTTCAACAGCACGTAGCACACGTGAACTGATCATCTCCTCCACATTAATTCCAGTTTCAGTACAAAATAAACATGACTAAACATCCGAAGGCAAGTTAAAAGAAAGGGTACAACTTTACAATCTGTATCCTGTCTCATGTAATCGCTCAATCAGTGTTTCAGCCACGCAAAGACGTCAATATAACGGCTTGTAAACAATAATAATAATAATGTCACATTTACCTCAGAAAAACAGATTCGGTGACCATAAACTCATTAGTCAGATAGAAAAATAAACTGTAGAGAGGGGCATTTTGTTAAGTATATGCACCATATAACACATTCATTATAAATTTGACTGTTCTTCAATGTTTAATTTGTTTGAATAAATCCATCAAGTGTTTATGACAGCCACCATTGTTTATATTTTAAAGTGGTCATATGATGTTGCTAAATATAACATTATTTGGTGTAATGTTTATGCGGTTTAAGGTTCAAAAACACATTATTTTCCACATACTGTACATTATTGTTGCTCCTCTATGGCCCGCCTTTCTGAAACACGTTGATTTTTACAAAGCTCATCATTCTGAAAAGTGAGGTGTGCTCTGATTGGCCAGCTATCCAGTGTGTTGTGATTGGCCGAATACCTCAAGCGTGTGACGCAAGCGTGTGACGGGAATGTTACCCCCCTTACCATACTATAATGCCGTGTCCCAGCGCGATGAGACAAAACCAATCATAAACGAGGCATTTGTTGCATCCAGTGGGGACATGATTACAGATTATAATTACTTATACTGTCTTTACGTGCTGTGTAAACATAAAACATGTCTGCATTTGTGATCAGAGAAACGACAGACAACAAGTGCTACTCTAAACTGCCCAAAACTCTCGTTTGAATTGTCAGTGGCAAATTCTTTAA